AATATTAGCTATGCATGCCATGTTTACTTTTACTTTGTTGTATTTTGTATGTGGAATCTTTTCCCTCTGGTGGAAGGATCACTGGTTCAGATAAGTACGGTTTGTGGATTATATTGAGAAATTTGAATTTTTCTATTTGACTCACAGGGAACAGCTTGATTCACTTGAAAAACTCAAATGGCCAGTTCTGACATGTGATAATGTCCCATGGGCTTCACATAAACCTTCATGCTCTTTGCAAGGTTGGTCACTTGTAGGCTATGCTGCAAGTCAGGAATCATCTTTGACTATAATGGAGAAAGAGAAAGTTCGGGATCCTTTAGATGTTGATATGCTTGGAAAATCTGGCATTTCAAGAGAAGATATTGACGGTGCTAGGGAAGATGGGGAACTTCCTGCTCTAGTTTCATCTACATCTATCTTAGATAATGCTCAACCTACTCCCTTAAGAACACCCAATCTTGAGCATTCTAAGCAGCTAACTCTAATTTCCAAAAGCATTACACCTCAAACCAATTACTCTAGGATGCTAAGTTTCAGTAAACATGATGAAGATTATGAGTTGATGCTAGATGTTGATAGCGACCAGGATGAGCCAATGCAGACTGAGCTTGCAGCAGATGACGTAGCTTCTACTCCTTCCAACGACATAACAAGAAAGACATGGATGGATTATGGGTCCAAGGAATATTGCCTTGTCATGACCAGGAACACTGATTCACCAGCCAAAAATCTTAAGTTGCAAGCCAAGGTAACATTTTGTTCAATAATTTTCTTACAGAAACTATTTTTATTGATTTTCTGAATATTTAGATCAATAACATTATGACAGATTAAAATCAGCATGGAGTATCCTCTTAGGTCTCCTTTCTTTACTTTGAATCTTTACACGATCAATTCTGAAGAAAACCGTGATGAGAGTGATGACTCTGATTGGTATAATGAACTTCGGGCCATGGAAGCTGAGGTAAGGAGGAAAGTTTGTTTTAATATGAGTACTGGTTGTTGACCTTGTAATTTTTCACATTGTAGATCATTGTTTCTTGTCTTGTAGGTGAATCTCCATATACTTAAGATGCTGCCTTTGGATCAGGAGAACTATATATTGTCTCATCAAATTTGTTGTCTTGAAATGTTGTTCAACTACTGCATCAGTGAGGCGTCCCGATCCTCTGAAAGGAAAAAGAGTAGTTCTGTGATTGATGTTGGATTATGCAAACCTGTTAGTGGTAGTATACATGCTAGGTCATTTAGGGGAAGGGATCGTAGGAAGATGATATCCTGGAAAGACATTGAATGCGCTCCCGGCTATCCTTGTTAAGAATTTTTAGGATCTTAAAATTATTATTGTGTGCCTTCTGTTACTCTGCTGGTGGGGGAACAGTTTTGTGGGAACCTGACTGCCTGAAAAAGATGAAGAACGAAATTATTGTTTCTTGGCCAGTTTCTTCAGTATTGAAAATTTGAAATATTGATTCATGTCATGGCCATGGGTGGTCACAAGTGTGCCCAATCCTGCAGGTTGAGTATCATCAGATCATCAGCCAAACTGATCTGTTTCATCTAATGCAGTTGTTCATATGAGATCGTCTATTAAATAGGCTCTTTGGAAATGTAATTTCAGGCTTGCAATTCCCTGAATTGTAATTGCAGCTCTGGAGGATGTTATTCAGAAGTTCGAAAAGTGGGGGGAAGCTTTCAGGCAGGCACTAAGGAAATTAGGTTTGCTCTGTATCTGAGTCTCTGCAGCTGATCAACGTGCTAAATAGGCGCACTTTTTTCATGTCGTTGGAAACTCATAATGTTGTAGGTTATCCTATCCACAATTACAGTTTAGTTATATGGTGTATTGATTGAATTCTTAGTCACATTTTAAAAACAAAAATAAGTTGCTAAAAACGGATTTTTCGTCTTAATTATGATTCAATGAGGGATTTTCATATATAATACTAGATATGTCCATGGGGTAGGGCAGGGACAGGAAAAATGGAGGTAGCTGTTAGGATTTACACGATTGAATTTTACAAGCACCTTCCTCAAGCAAAAGTCTACTACATTCACCTGCATTTCAAGTCAAACATACGAGAGCCAAACAAGCGTGGCAGGTCAATTTCAAGCTTTGATATTCAAAGAATTCCTGAAATTGAATGATACTATGGTATGCTTAACAGACCTTGCATGTATTACCAACGGAGATTGCGTCTACGTCGAAAATGCCTAAGAATGAAGCTTTCTGCATGAAGAGGATACTTCTTTCTGATCAGACTCTTGATGCACTTCCAATATGAAAAATCAACTAATTCACCATCTTTCCTGACGATGAATAAACATCTCGAGCTTTCATAATCAGGATGATATCTAACCTGCCAAGCACAACAACACCAAAACATCATTGCTATCATCATTTCAGTTGACAAAGGCATAGAGTATGCATCCAATGCTCAAAATAATTGTAAAGAAAATGGTTCAAAAGTGAAAATGGCACTGCCCATAAGCAGGTTTTTCTTCTTTTCCAATTTCCCAGAATAAATAACATAAAATCACTTTTCTCATGGCAAGATATTGGAGTTTTAAGTCCAGATATAACTCTTTTGGCAGCATCCAAGTCTAAAATCAAGTTCATGGTAGATATTGTCTTATTTTGATTTTTCCTTGCAGACTTTCCTTCAAAAATTTTAAAACATGCCTACTAGAGAGAGGTTTCTACCGCTCATAAAGAATATTTCATTCTCCTCTCTAACCGACATGGGATCTCACAATCCACCCCTTTTGAAGTCTAACGTCCTTGCTGGCACTCGTTCCTGTCTCTAATCGACGTGGAATCTCACGATTACAAAAATCCACACCATTGCCACTTTCGAAGTCAAACATTATAGACAAATAATTTAAGATAAGAAGCTAGTCTAATATTTCAGCGATCATGACAGATTGAAATCAATCACATCAATAGTTATAACCAAGATAGTTCATCAGAAGTAATTAAAAAACTTGACTGTGGACATTTAATTCTTTTACCAGGTTCACCACGAAAGAGGCTAGAGTACTTTCATCCAAGGAAATAGAAAAGAGGCTACAGAGTATTATTTGATTAGTCATTCTATTAAATGCAAATGTAAATTCTAAAACAAAGCTAAAAACATGAGGCATGTACAAATATGGAGAGAGATATACCGTGATATAATCAATCCCACATCCAACCTTCTTCTCATACTTGGGATGATATGGAAGCAACCTTTCGAGAATTGTTTTCTCGTGCTCTGGGCTTAACCTATCCCCAATTTCATATCTGCATGTGTTTGATTAAAGATGATTAGCAAGAATGGAGATCAAACTCTATGCTAATGAATTCAGGACACAACATATTCTCTATCAGATAATAGGTGCTCCATTAGTTGACATTTACATGATCAAAGCACACAGTCAAGAGTATGAACTGTTGCAACACTCTTCTTTTCTTCAATTTATTAGATACTGAGTCCTTAGGTACCTAAAGTCATGATTAAATTCGAACAAATTGATTCTAAAATCAATGAACTTTGAAGGGATTAGTTGACATGACTCTTGATTTTTGTTCCTGCTCGCTGTGGAAATTGATGAAAGTTCCGCAAAAGTTCTATAATTTCAATATCAAGTTAATAGTTCCGTTCACTATCGAGTAACACGTTTCCCATTTGAACAACAAGCTCAAAATTCACTTAAAAAAAAAGTAGAATAATCTCAAACTCAATAATAAAATCGAGACACAAACGAATGTTTACTTTCCAGAGTGAAGAACCATCCTCACAAAGGTAACGAGAGGAACAGTATCCTCCAAAATTATGTTCTCCCAATCAACCCAATCCTCTTCCTCGTCATCGTCATCTCCACTCTCCTCGCTGCTCTCTTCATCCTCCGATAATCCAGCCAAGTCCTTCGCCGGCGGAACAACTGGTTTCCGCAGCAAATCGGAGCTACATTCTTCGTGGCTCCGAATTCTACTGCCTTCAGGGCCAGTGTTTAGGGCACGAGTGGATGGATGAAACGACGTCATTAGATGTGTAGGAAAACATAAGATGACTGGTGAAGATTTGAAGAAGCTTGGATTTAGGGAGTGAAAGGGCACAGATGGCGGTGGCTTCAAAATGGACGCAATGGCCATGACCATTCCCTTCTTCAATTGAGACAAGGAGCTTGAATTTGAAACTACTGAGATTGAGATTGTAGCCTACGATTACGGAACATGGTTTTTCTCCCAATTTCTCTGAGAAAACGGAGGAAGAAGAACCATTAACGGTCAGTCACAATATCATGAATCTCATGGACTTGGAGATACTACAGAATTTCTCTTCAATCCGCATCCTCTGGCCTGGCGGGATTGCTGAGCCATATCCGAAGCCTTCCCGTTCGATTTGGAGCCAAAAATATGGGCCTTCTATTCAGAGCCCAAGTTCTCAATTTGGGCCCTTATCTGGGTCTTGTATTCTGACCCCAAGTTCTAAATTTGGGACTTTATCTTCCTTGTTGAGCCCCAAAGAATATGGGCCTTGTATTCTGAGCCCAATTTCTCGATTTGGGCCTTTATCTTCCTTGTTGAGCCCTAAAAATATGGGCCTTGTATTCTGAGCCCAAGTTCTCAATTTGGGCCTTCATCTTCCTTCTTGAGCCCCAACAATAGAAAGAATAATAACAAATTAAAACATTTATCTGACAGCTTTTTTTCTTTTTTTTTTTTTTGGAAGACAGATATTTATGTAACAGTTACGGGGTTAAAATTTGGGATTTTATTGGGAAATGAAAAGGAAGCGCGCGCGAAATAAAAGAGGCGTTGACAGTTAAAAAGCGGCGCCACGGAAACCGAATATTGGGACGAGGAGGCAAAAGATATTTCAGATGGTCAGATAATATCTGCCCGATTCCTCCGCATTAATCAACACTTTGTTGACGTGGCACATGTAGGCCCATTTACACGTGTAAAGCCATGACAACTGTGAAGGTTCTTTTGTCCCCAAACACGGCCTTTCGCTCTCTTCCTAAAGATCTCTCTCCACTGGCCCGCTTCCATTTTTCTTCTCCATCTCTCTCTCTCGCCATTGCAAATCTGGAGATAATCCTTCATCTTCTTCTGTTTTCATGGAGGTTTTGCCTCCAAATTTAGAGAATCTCAAGCCTAAAGAAACTCGGACCGACTCACTGATCTCTGAATTGGCCATGGACGAGTCAACCGAGGCTCCCCTACAGGACGAATCTTCTAGCCAGGTACTTACCCTACTTTTCTTCTTCACGGTTCCAATTATCTTCGTTTTTGGATGTTTTTGTATTTCGGATTAGGTTTTGCTTATGTGATGTTTCGTATCTTCAATTTCATACTCTGTGCCCGTACTGTTTCTCTATTTTCGTGCTAAAATGAGAACGATATCGATTAAATAATTGAAAGAGAGAGGAAGTGGAAGAAGATAGTACTGGTCTGGCATTGACTCTCGAGACTGGAGAATTTTTATTTTGTATTTTGTTCGGCTCTGTTTAGATCGGTATTGCTGTTTGTCGATGGAATTTATTGGGCTGTGCAAGAGGTTTGGATCTGTGATCAATTATTCTGGAAACTCAGCACGAGCTTTGGTTGTCCGGATTTATTATTTATCATTATAATGACTAATAGTAGCGTTTTTCTGTTATTTATTAAGAGAGACCATGAACTTGCCGCGGGAATTGCTGATAATGCGGTTTCGATTTTAGGGCACTCGTATGACGGAGTCTGTACCTTCTGATTGGACCGATGAGAAGCACCATTTGTTCCTTGAATCCATGGAGGCATCTTTTGTCAGCCAGATGTTTGATTCTGCGCATTCAGGTGGTACCGGCTCCGGGAAGGAAAATTCATCATGGACAAAATTGCACGGCCAAAGCCAGGCCGCTTCTCATGTCCACTCACATGTTGGCCAGGTTCAGTGCCGATTGTTTTTTCTTGATGAGTTTTAACTCGTTTCTGATCATGACTTGTGAATGCTCTTTTTGTTATTTTGTTGCTTTCATCTACACAGTTTAAGGTTCTTCGACAAGGCAGCTGGAAGAATGTTAATTTTGAACCAACTGAAGCTCGGCCGAATTTATTGAATGATTACCAGGCTCTATCGCGCAATCCATGGATACATCACTTCAGAGCTGCTCGCAAAAACAAAAATGTTGCATGTAAAAGTCCAGCCATCAGTTCAAGAAAAAGGAATTTGTTGCCATTTGGAGCAGGACCTATGCGTGCTTGTAACTCTGATTTGTCTCAGCATTGTATATACAACAATAAAGGTAGGTCTCTGGGCCTTTGTGCAGATAAATTATCAATATTGAATTGATAAAGTGTGCCTCTCCTTGATTATAATTTAGTTATCACGTTTAAGTTTGCTAGTTAGTAATAATAAATTGGAATATGTTTGATCTGAATCTAGTCTTTACTGCCAGAAAGTTCTGAGTTCAAACAAATGATGCGACTGGAGTGAAATTGTTTTATCTATTGTAATCTGCTATGTTCAAGATCCGACTACGATTTTAACTGCAATTTGTACTGCAATCATCATGTCGCCTGAATTTTAGATGAGTAAGATCCTTTATGTTGCAGAAGTGTCGGATCAGAACTTTGTTGATGGAGAAAGGGAAGTTGAAAAAGTTGCAAAGGGGAGCAATGATTGCAATACCAAAAGGGTAAAAACTTCAGAAACCAATGATTTGATCAACGACCAGGTAATTCAAATGATATCAACTTAGCTATCATGTCCTTGCTCCAAAATGACAACCACTGTTTTCTTTTAGGTTGTTCCTTAAGTTCCACGAAAAGGAGATGATGCTTAACAAGAATTCTCTTACAGCCAGCAGATAGCTAAATCCATGATTTTCGCCAAGACGGACTTTGTAGACTACTTCTCTAACCCGGGAAAGGCTATAGATGATCAGAGATTGTTGGTGAAGTCTGTAAAATCCTCATTTTGATGCTCTTGGTTTGTCTGTTGATTTAAGTTCTAATACCCTTGAGCGTCTGCAGTTGCGTAGTAATTAGCAAATCAGCAGCTATGGCTTTGACCGGGTAGATGAGTATGGTAATGTAATTCATCATATGTATAATATATATATATATAATTTCTTTTGGTACACCAAGGCTATGCATAACACTTGTTCAAGTGTTTTCTCTGCTCTCTTTTTCAAGGGTAACAGATGAGCGCAAAATGAAATAGTTAGATTTAGAAGTTTAGTTGAATTATAGATTTTTATACCATTGATTTTTTTTATCAATTGAATCAGTTAAATTAGGCTAAAATTGACCTATAGATTAAGTTTTTGAAACTAGTATTTTTTATTGTTATGTTTTTTTAACTAGGTTTAGTTATATTTTATATATATATTGAGTTTAATGACATATGGTTGAGGATTATTATTTACCAAATATATGTTGGATTAGGTTAAATTTTAAAAATCTCTCTTTAAAATGGTCCCGTTGAAAAGAAATCTCTATTGTCGCCACGTACTTTATTACTCATTTAGAATGGAGATATTAGGTTGGCACTTTTAGGTATGATTTATGGCATGAAAATCATGATCTCGGGTTTGCCTTTTGCCCAAAAAGGAAAAATAGGAAAATGCACTGAAATTGGGCTGTGATCTTTGTCTTTTGTGGACCAAAAAAAATTGGTTTAGAATTTCCTTCCCAAGTATAGAATTTTAAAAAGTGTGTGGTCAAAGTCCACGTGGCACTTTCGGGTCAAACAATATTCAGGCGCCAAATCAATCACGTGACCCGCTACACGGAGAATCCAAGTCGTAGACGGATTCGGTTTGGGTCAGATCCGAGAGTTTCATCGGTATAAAGGGACCGGCAAATTCTTGAATCGCCCAAATCTTCCTCCCATTGTATATACTTGAACGTTTGGATCTTCCGTTCAGAGTCATTTGCCGCGACGAGAAGATTTGTTTGTGTTTTCTATTCGCGTTTTGCCCTGATTCTTTTTGCAATTATCGAGGTAGTACCTTTTCTTTGTTTCGTTGAATTGAATCCCTAGGTTTTGAATTGATCTCTTTTCGATTTGTATGTTGTATGCGAGAGGAGGCGGAAGGTGCATAATCGTTGCTTAAGTTGTGTGATACATTTGCAGGCGTGGGACCACCAGTGACTGCAATGCTGCCGTTTCTGTCTACATCGAAGGTCGGCAAGTCCTTGATTTCGCGTGGACGTGGTATCAGACATGCCATCAAATACGCAAGTTGTAATGCCGAGCCGTGGGAATATCAAAACGTTCGACATGTGAAGTGTATTGCCGGTGTTGAGACCTCGTCGATTCATAGACTGTTTGATAAGGGTCAAAAGATTTTTCCCGGGAGCTTCCATGATATTAGTGCTGTACAAAGGAGGCGATTCATTGGCTGTGGAGATGGGGAGGAGGGCGGCGTTCTATCCAAACAGGATCATAAGATTTCTTCTGGGAACCTTCGTGATATTAGTGCTGGACAAACGAGGCGATTTATTGGCTGTGGAGATGGGCAAGAGGGCGGCGTCCTATCCAAAATTTACGAGGAGAGACGCGTAATGGGGTAAAGAAACAAATTTTCTTCTGCTCATTTATAGCATGCGATTTTCTGCGTTTTGGTTTTATTAGTACAAGAGTTAGCAGCGGAGGAAACATTAATGTGGTAATTTGGATTTGTCTCATCGCTTCCCTGCAAATTTTAGAGGATTGAATTAGCTCTGTTGATAAGGGATTTTATTTATTTCTACAATTTAGAACTTGAAGCGTTTGAGAAAGTTTTGGACTTAGTCTCCTTCCTTTTACGTCTTGATGTTGGCCAATAGAACAGTGATAATTGTTAGTGGTTATTGCTGAGCTAATTACCCCTTTCTGTTTATTATTAGGTATTCTCCGGAGCAGTTATTTGACGTAGTTGCAGCTGTTGACTTGTACCAAGATTTTGTTCCGTGGTGCCAGCGGTCAGAGGTAATCAAAACCTATCCTGATGGATCATTTGATGCTGAATTGGAGATTGGCTTCAAATTTCTTGTTGAGAGTTACACTTCACATGTAGAGATTCAAAGACCGAAGTCTGTAAAGGTAATAACCTTATCCAAAATTTATGATGATTTTCTCATTCTGAATTGGTAACTCATTTAGCTAGCTAGTGGTGATATTGACTTGGTGTACACGTATTAGAACCAAGGATTTTAGGGTGTCTCGTTCGTATTTGTGTTGTTTCACTGATTGTACACATGATGTGACGGATGTTTAAAAGGATAAAAAAATTAGGAGAGATTAGGCGGTCTAGATTTTATTCCACATCTTCCAGTATTATAAGGAATTAAATCTGTGTGATTTCGTAAACCATTAATAACTCATATATATCAGGTCTTAGAATCTTAACTGGAAGCACCAAGCTTTAATTGCATATAGACTTAGGTTTAGAAAAGGTCAGACACATTGCTTTACAAGCTGCATGGTTGTGCTTTACCAACTTTAGATCATGACTTCACACGTTTACTTCACATGCCTGGTTGTGATTTGGTTCCAGACGTAATTGTATCTTCTTCCATGCATAAGAAGGAAAACTTGTTTGTGTTTTTTTAGACATGGTAAGATAATTTAAACTGCACAAGGAGGAAAAAGAACAGCAAAGCATATGGTGTAAGAAATCTGGGCATATTGATATTAATAACAGGGAAAGATTGTTTTTACATTGTGTTTGCGACATTTCATTGGTACATTGAAGTTGTTGCTGACACATCGTTGTATCTAGAATATTGGAACACATGAAAAGATATCATGGAAATTTCATCATAAGCTATCTTTTCTAGTTGCAGGCAGCAGTGTGCAGTGTTGTCTTTGAAGTGTTCAAGTAGGTAGTGTGCGCTCTCTTATCCTGAGAGACGGTGCTTAGTATTGTAGTATTGTAAATTGAACTTTGGAAATTGGTTGACAATCTTTATTGAATGTGGAAAAAAAGAACAGAATTTTAGAGGCTGGGCTACTCTTCTACATGCTTTCACTCACACCATATGAGCTAGCACACTCCACCCAATGGAGTCTCCATCTAACTCTTTTGTTTTATTGTCTCTCTCCACCCTCCCCTCCTTTTATCTTTTTCTTTTTGTAATGTTCTTGTGAGATCCCACGTCGGTTGAGGAGGAGAACGAAACACCCTTTATAAGGGTGTGGAAACCTCTCCCTAACAGACGCATTTTAAAGCCTTGAGGAGAAACCCGAAAGGGAAAGCCCAAAGAAGACAATATTTGCTAGCGGTGAGCTTGGGCCAGTACAAATGGTATCGGACACCGGGCAATGTGCCAGCGAGGAAGCTCTTCCCCAAAGGGGGTAGACACGAGGCGGTGTGCCAACAAGGATGCTGGCCCCAAAGGGGTGGATTTAGTGAGGGTCCCACATTGATTGGAGAAAGGAATGAGTGTCAGGGCCTTGAAGGGGAGTGGATTGTGAGATCCCACGTAGGTTGGGGAGGAGAACTAAACACTCTTTATAAGGGTATGAAAACCTTTCCCTAGCAGACGAGTTTTAAAGTCTTGAGGGGAAGCCCGAAAGGGAAAGCCCATAGAGGACAATATCTGCTAGCGGTGGACTTGAGCTGTTACAGTTCTTCTCTCTTTTCCAAATCTTTCTCTGCAAGTCCTAAAGTTTAACTCATGCGCTGTTCAATTTGTCCATCTTTTGTGAACGATAAAAATAATGTGTAGGTTTTCAGAGGTTTGGCTATTAACCAGAATGTTTTCACTCCTGCACTCACATCATTAGGGCAAGCACACTCCTTCCTCCAATAGAGTCTCCATTTCCTTTATTCACTTTGTTCTCCCCTAAACACCTGTTTTTATTATTGATTGATTACATAATAAGTCATTTTGGTTTGGGTTGGATAAGGGCCTCGTGGAAATAAGAGGGTTGGGTTTGCCTAGGGGTCATAAGGGCCTTTTGGGGATGATCACCTTCCTAGGATTTATCCTAGATGTGTTTTCTGTCGATCAAATGTAGTAGGATTTGATGGTCGTCAGTGAGATTAGCAAGGTGTTAGGATTTGATGGTTGTCAGTGTGATCAGCATGGTGTGCGCAAGCTGGCATAAATACTTATCAATATCAAAAGAAAAAAGGAATATGGTCATTTTCTTAATTAATGAATCAATAATGTTCTTCAGTTCATAGTTTATATTACTATTTATTCTTGTGTTAATGTGCATATCAGCCTAAAATATTAACATTTATATTTAAAACAATGATTTAATTTGACATTTTCATCTTGATTGTTCAAACTACTGATGTTTAGTAGGCATTGCACTGATTGTCTTGATTCCTCTTTCAACTTGCAGACAACAGTATCTCAGAGCACGCTGTTTGATCACTTGATAAATATTTGGGAGTTCCAACCGGGACCAGTTCCAGGGACTTGCAACCTCTACTTTTTAGTAGATTTTAAGTTCCAGTCACCCCTGTATCGACAGGTAGAGCTTTCTCCCTCATAGCATCCTTTCAAATTACAAATTTCAGTTATAGCGTAGGCATTGGGCAGGAATGCAACGGACTCCTGTAGAAGTCTAGTTATGAGTCTCTGACTTTTCGCTCTAAAATGAAATGTTAATGATTAACAATGGAGCCTCCTTTGCATTGTGCTTACCTGTGGTAGGATTAGGTTTCCCAAGCCGATCCTTCTCTAACTTTGATAGAGTGGCCTAAACTATATTTCTCAATTTTGGACATGTGACTTGATGAAATGCCATCTGTGTAAAACACGTGAACTGGCAATAATTATCTGAACCTGTTGTGTGCTTGAAAGCTGATCTTTTATCAACTTTATTTTGAAATCTTACCTCGATTAGAGCCTGTAGCTTCTTTAAACAAAATTCAATGATATTAACTTATTCTGTGGTTCTGTTTATCTCTTTTTGTAACTTCCATTTTATTTTTTATCCAATGAATCCAGGGTTGGGATCTGTGTTGAATTTGCTCTGTTTTATATTGCCGCTATTTGTCACCAAATGTTCTCTTACAGCCTAGCATTTCAATATCTCATATGGCATTCATTTTCAGGTGGCTTCGGTGTTCTTTAAGGAGGTTGTCTCAAAACTGGTTGGTTCATTCAACGATCGCTGCCGATTGATTTATGGACC